CAGAACCTATTCGGGTTTTAGCTTGTATAGTCGCTCGGTCTTCTTTATATGAGCGCATCAGAGAACGGTAGTATGATGATCCTCATTTACTTGTCCTTAAGGACACGGTGTGGTACGGTGATGCCAAACATGCTGCTATGGGGGAAGATGGAGTTCAGCGAATGCAAGGTCATATTTATGTGCCTAATGTGGATGGGCTTCGTGAATTAATTTTGGAAGAGGCCTACAGTTCCAGATATTCTATTCATCCAGGTGCCGCCAAAATGTATCAAGATTTCCGGCAACATTATTGGTGGAAGAGAATGAAGAAGGATATAGTTGCATATGTAGCTCGGTGTTTAAATTGTCAGCAAGTCAAGTACGAGCATCAGAGACCTGGTGGTTTGCTTCAAAAGTTAGAAATTCCTGAGTGGAAGTGGGAGCGTATCACTATGGATTTTGTTGTTGGGCTCCCACGGACTCAGAGAAAATTTGACGCAGTTTGGGTCATTGTGGATAGGTTGACCAAGTCACCACATTTCATTCCAGTGGCAGTTACCTATTCTTTAGAGCGTTAGCTGAAATTTACATTCGTGAGATCGTCCGCCTTCACGGTGTGCCTGTGTCTATTATTTTAGATCGAAGTACACAATTTACCTCACACTTCTGGAGGGATGTACAACGTGAGTTAGGCACGCGGGCTGAGTTGAGCACAACATTTCACCCACAGATGGATGGACAGTCAGAGCGCACCATTCATATATTGAAAGATATGTTTCGCGCTTGTGTTATAGACTTTGGAGGTTCTTGGAATCAGTTCTTGCCACTTGCGGAGTTTGCTTATAATAATAGCTATCAGTCGAGCATTCAGATGGCTCCATATGAGGCATTATATGGAAGGCGATGCCGATCGCCAATTGTTGGGTATCGATTTGGTGCAAGATGCCTTGGATAAGGTTAAGATTATTTAGGATCGATTTCGCACAACTCAGTCTAGGCAAAAGAGTTATGCTGACCGTAAAGTTCGTGATATTGCATTCATGGTTAGAGAAAGAGTATTTCTCCGGATTTCACTTATGAAAGGTGTAATGAGGTTCGGAAAGAAGGGCAAGTTGAGCCATAGGTCTATTGGACTCTTTGAAATTCTTGAAAGGGTGGGTGAAATAGCCTACAGGCTTGTATTACCACCTAGTTTATCAGCGGTTCATCCGGTGTTTTATGTGTCTATACTCCGAAAATATAATGGTGCTCCGTCCCATATGTTAAATTTCAGCTCAGTCCAATTGGACAAGGATTTGACTTATGAGGAGGAGCCGGTAGCTATTCTAGCCTGGCAGGTCCGACAGGTGAGGTCTAAGAGTTATCCTTCAGTTCGGGTGCAATGGAGAGGTCAGCGGTAGAAGCATCTACCTGGGAGTCCGAGTCGGACATGCGGAGTAAATATCCACACCTTTTCACCAGCTCAAGTACTTTTTCTAATTCCGTTTGAGGATGAACATTTATTTTAAAGGTGGAGAATGTGATGACCCAAAAGGCCATCTTTAAATTTAATAATTAATTATATGTTCTAAAACCTCGAATAACACTATTCATCATTCCACGACTTGCGTGCGCAGTTCGTAAAAATTTTCGGAAAGTTTTTATATGAAAAATTGATTAAAAAGTGAAATAGAGCCTTAAAACTCAACTGAATTGACGTTGCTAAATATTTTGAGCAAACGGACTAGGATCAGTGTTTTGACAGTTTCGGTAGGTCCATATCGTGATTTAGGACTTGGGCGTATGCCCGAAATTAAATTTGGAGGTCCCTAGCTTAAATTATCGCCAGTTGGCAAAAACTAGAAGCCTAAAGGCTTAAAGATTTCAAAGTTTGACCACAAATTGACTTTTATCGATATCGGGGTCGGATTCGAGTCCTGAAAATTTTTATAGGTCCGTTATGTCATTTATGACTTGTGTGTCGAATTTGGTGAGAAACGGAGTTGATTTGACGTGATTCGGACGATCGATTGTGAAAATAGAAGTTTTAAAGTTTTTTTAAAAATTTCATTTGATTTGGTGTCCGATTCGTAATTCTAGGTGTTAAATTGTGTTTTGATCGTGCGAACGCGTTTGTTTGAGGTTTTTGGACTTGTGTGCATGTTTGGTTTAGAGCCCCGAGGGCTCGGGTGAGTTTCGGATGGCCTACAGACCATTTGAACTTTGAAAAAAACTGGTTTTTAGCTTCATCTGTCATCTGATGCATTGTGCTTCGCGATCGCGAAGAGGAAGTTGTGAACCGTGAGTTTTACCCTTCACGTTCGCAATGATAGGCACGCGATCGCAGAAGGTTAGCTCCCAGTGCACTGCGAATACTAGGGCCAAGCCGCGTTCGCGTAGAAGGAATTAAGGCAGAAGCTGGGTATACCATTTGTGCTACGCGATCGCACATAACTTGTGCGATCGCGTAAGGCTGAGAAAATGTTCTACGCGATCGCATGACCATTTACGCGATCGCGTAGAGTTAATAATCCGGGTAGCCAAAATATATTTTGCGATCGCAAAGAGTTATCCGCGATCGCAAAGAGTAATATGGACCTAGGCAGAAATTGTTCTACACGATCGAGAATGAATTCCCGCGATCGCGATGAGTAAAAATCTGGGCAACAGAACTTAAGTTCTAAAAATGGGATTTCGTCCCATTTTTCACCATTTTCGATTTTGAGCTCGGGTAAGAAGCTTTTTGGGCGATTTTCACGGGAAAATATTGGGGTAAGTGTTCCTTATTCTATATTGATTATATTCCATAATTCCATACTCATTTACATCATGAATCCGTGAATTTATGGAAGAAAAATCAGATTTTTATAAAATCTTCCAAAAATATAAAATTAAGATTTGAAGGTCAATCCGGGATCGAAATTTGATAATTTTTATATGGTTGAACTCGTATCGGAACGGGTATTCGGATTTTGTGAGTTTTTCGGGATTCGAGACGTGGGTCCCACTGATGAAGTTTGAGATAAATTTTGAATTTTTATCCGAAAAATTAGTAAATTCATATGGAATTAATTCCTACGATTTGTATTAAATATATTGAATTGTTTATGACTAGATTTGAGGATTTCGGACACTAATTCGCAAGGTAAGGGTGTATTGGAAACTTGAATTTGGTTGTGAAGCGAGGTAAGTATCGTGGTTAACCTTGACTTGAGGGAATATAACCCTTGAATTATTTGTTATGTGAATTTCATGTGTAACGATGTATAGGCAAGGTGGCGGGTGCCTATACTTTGTCAAATTAATTGTTGCCTAATTATTTAAATATATTAAATTATTTTAAGACACGAATTAATCGTTATAATAATTGTTTCACTCATATTCCTTGTCAAATATTAATTCTTGAATTTCTGCAATAATTGTTACATGCTTATTTGATTTATGTGTCTTAATTGATATTTGACATTTAGCATATTAAATATTAAACTCCCTATGTTCTCCCTGATTTCCTCAATTAATTTCTACTTGTCATTGTTTGTTCATAATTAAATTATAATTATTGTATGCCTTGATGCTTAATAGTTTCTCATTGAACGCGGTACTTATTGGAGTATTTTTATTATATTTAAGAGTTGTATAAATATATATGGGGGATCGGGTTGCACGCCGCAACAGATTTATTTAAAGTTTATATGGGGGATCAAGTTGCACGGCGTAATAAATTTATTTAAAATATATATGGGGGATCGGGTTGCACGCTGCAACAGATTTATTTAAAGTTTATATTTGGGAAACGAGTTGTACCGCAATGAAAAGAAGTTGAGGGATTGTGAGTGCTGAATTGACTTCAAGTATTGATATTATTTACCGGTCTTACTACTATTCCCGTTATTATTATTAACGTTGTGTACAGGTTAATGTAAGGGACCTGCCTTAGCCTCGTCACTACTTTGTCGAAGTTAGGCTCGACACTTACTAATACATAGGGCCGGTTGTACTAATACTATACTGTGCACTTCTTGTGCAGATTTCGGAGTTGGTCCCAGCGGCGTACTGTAGATTTGCCCGGATACAACTACCAGTGGAGACTTGAGGTATAACTGCACAACGTTCGCAGTTCTGAAGTCCCCTTCTATATTATCTCAGTTGTGTATTATATTTCAAGCAACTTAAATTTTATTTAGACCTTTATTTGTATTATTCTAGAAGTCCGTGCACTTGTGACTCCAGTTCTGAGATGGTATTTAGATATCGCGATTATTATGGATTATTCACTTTATTTCAGACTTTATTTCCGCATTTGTTTTCTTGTTATTAATTAATTAAAAATTTTATTAAAAATGACTAATTGTATTCTAACGTTGGCTTGTCTAACAAGTGAAACGTTAGGCGCCATCACGGTCCCGAATGTGGGAATTTCAGATCGTGACAGTAAGGGTTCGATTTTCCACCTTATAATTCTTTTTCATTTCTCATCCCCTTACCATTAATTATATATAATAAAAAATAAATAAAAAAGTGTAAGTACTAGATGTTTGAACCTAGACATCTTGCCTTCCTACAATCCTACAGTGTACACTTTACTCAGATTTATAAGTTGGTATGAAACAAATTGAGCTTTTCACATCAACGTTTTCATAGGGTGTTACTGAAAAGAAAAAGAGGAAAAAGAGGAAAAAGAGAAAAGTTGATAGGGTGTTACTGAAAAGAAAAGGAGAAAAAGCAGAAAAAAAAGAGAGTAAGTTCTATGAAATGACTGTGTATATATAAAATTGATACGTATTAGATAATTTCATAACTTTTTAGATAAATATTAATTGGTAATTGAATTAAAAACAACAATTAATATACTATTACATAGTATTAATTTTAGCATAAAATAGTTTATATATTATTAGTATATATAATTTAATCGAAAACGAAATAAAATGACACCACCCAAAAAAAAGGAAAGAAGAATATTCAAAGGAAAAGGGAAATATCAGAAATATTTGAAAATTATCATGTGAATAGCCATAGCCCATAGGACAGCATTCTTGGAAACTCAGAAATATATAAAGAGCAGTCGTGCTTTGACTGCAATACGTAAGCCACAGTGTTTGTAGAAGAGAATTAGACCCCGTCACCTAAAGTTTGTTTCTCTCCATTCGTAAAACTTCACATTGGGTAGGTGAGTTCACTCATTAAACTTATATCTTTATATGAAATCACTATTTATTTAGAAGATCTTAACAACCCCAGATCGCAAATTTTCCTTTTTCTTCATTTTTTGGACTTATTTGAGGTACTTATACCTTTTTTAAAATTTGGTTTAATCTGTTAAAGTTTTGATCTTTATTTTGTGACAGTTTAGTATTTGATTAAAGATGTTAGCTTTAATTCAGGTTTAATCTGTTAAAGTTTTGATCTTTGTTTTCTGATAGTTTAGTATTTGAGTAAAGTAGGTAGCTTTAATTCAGTAATCTGTTAAAGTTTTGATCTTTGTTTTCTGATAGTTTAGTATTTGAGTAAAGTAGGTAGCTTTAATTCAGTAATCTGTTAAAGTTTTGATCTTTATTTTGTGATAGTTTAGTATTTGATTGAAGATCTTAGCTTTAATTCTTGATTTCTGATATGGGTTTTTCTCATTCTTCATTCGGTTGTCTTGTGGTTGAGTAGTTTTTTTTACTGCAGGATTTTACAGTACTTGCATTGGATCACTTAGGACCCGTTTGGCCATAGATTTTGCCAAAATAAAATTTGGTTTTATTTGGCAAACACATGTTTGGCCATAGATTTTGCCTATATTTTGGCCAAATCCCAAATCCTAAAATCAGCTCTGTAGCTAGTTTTGGGCCAAAATATCACTATTATATTTTTTTAAAATTGCCCCAAACTTTTGTATTTCATAAAAGAACCTCCATTAATTATTTTGTAACGATGTTGCTTCGTCTTCTCGGTCATCCGATATTGTTTCATGTAGTTCATTATAAAAATGATAATTTTGTATCAAATTTATTTATGTTCAGGACTATGGTTTGCGATAATATAATGAATGTTATTGATAATGATACTGTTGGGTATCTGTGATAATTTTTAGAACTTGTGGATATAGGTCATGTTTCATGTTTTTCCAAACCAAACTTCACCCAAAACAGATGTCCAAACACATTTTCATCTTCAAACCAAACTTCACCCAAATCAGATTTTTCAGAATAAATTTGGGAAATCTATGGCCAAACGCTAGCTTAGTTAGAATGCTGAAACCTTCATTTTTTTTTTTTTTTTTTTTTTTTTTTTTTTTTGGTTTTCCTCTTTTCTGGTTACCTTTCTTTGATTCTTGTTGTGCTTTTGGCCAAAAGGTTTGGAACTTCTCTTTTTATGTTTCATCCAGATCTGATCTATTATGTTTTTGTTGCTTTAGTTTACAATAACTGTTCTTTTCTTGTCACCTTTTGGTAACTTTTTTGGTATTTCTCTGTCAGCTGATTCTATTCTTCCTTCCTGCATCCGGATCCGTTTCACATTTGCTTCCATGAATTGGTTTTGTAATTTGTTCCTATACCCTTTTAGTTTAAGGTATCTGAATTGGTATTTCCTTGATTCTGTTACTGGTTTGATAAGCAGCAAAATTGTGAATGACAGAAAATATAATTGAGTTTAAACCACACGTTGACTTCAATTAGGTAAAATTTGCTCAAGAAAGGCAACAACTTGACTATATGAAGTAGGAATCACGATTTTTGGTTCTTTTATTAGCTTAATTCTAGAAGAAATAACCCATGTGCAAAGTAATAATGAGAGTCGATGTTAGCAGAAATGTCCTCTCAAAATGTGTCCTAATTATCTGTTCTCGTTGTTGCTATAAGCTATTCCTTCTTGTACCTTTTATGCTTTCAGTTTCATCCTAAGGATTTATTTCCCATCCTCTGATGACAGGTGACAGCATGGCTTCTCCGACAAGAATTGGTCTTGCTGGCCTTGCTGTTATGGGCCAAAATCTTGCTCTCAATATTGCTGAGAAAGGATTCCCTATATCTGTTTACAACCGAACCACTTCAAAAGTTGATGAGACTGTTGAACGAGCTAAAAAAGAAGGAGATCTTCCTCTTTATGGCTTTCATGATCCAGAGTCCTTTGTGAATTCTATCCAAAAGCCTCGCGTCATAATCATTCTTGTCAAAGCTGGAGCACCAGTTGATCAGACCATCAAAACTCTTTCGGCTTACATGGAGAAAGGAGACTGTATCATTGACGGTGGTAATGAATGGTATGAGAACACGGAGAGGAGAGAGAAAGAAATGGCTGAGTTAGGACTTCTTTATCTAGGGATGGGAGTTTCAGGTGGTGAAGAGGGGGCTCGAAATGGACCGTCGCTGATGCCTGGAGGCTCTTTTGAAGCCTACAAGTACATAGAAGATATCTTACTAAAGGTCGCTGCTCAAGTTCCTGATAGTGGACCTTGTGTTACATACATTGGTAAAGGTGGTTCTGGCAATTTTGTTAAGATGGTTCACAATGGAATTGAATATGGTGATATGCAATTGATTGCGGAGGCTTATGATGTTCTGAAATCTGTTGGGAAGCTCTCTAACGATGAGTTGCAACAAGTTTTCTCAGAATGGAACAAAGGGGAGCTTCTGAGCTTCTTGATTGAAATCACAGCTGATATATTTGGAATCAAGGATGACAAAGCAGATGGATATTTAGTAGACAAGGTTCTGGACAAGACTGGAATGAAAGGTACTGGTAAATGGACTGTTCAGCAAGCTGCTGAACTGTCAGTTGCTGCTCCTACTATAGCGTCATCACTGGATTCAAGATTCCTTAGTGGATTGAAGGATGAAAGGGTGCAGGCAGCCAAAGTTTTCAAATCTAGCGGGGTTAGCGATATACTTGTTGAACAGTCTGTGGATAAGAAGCAATTGATTGACGATGTGAGAAAAGCACTCTATGCATCAAAAGTATGTAGCTATGCCCAGGGAATGAATTTGATAAGGGCAAAGAGTGTTGAAAAGGGATGGGACTTGAAACTAGGGGAGCTTGCTAGGATTTGGAAAGGTGGTTGCATTATCCGTGCTATATTTTTGGATCGTATCAAGCAGGCTTATGACAGAAATCCAGATCTCGCTAACCTGCTTGTGGATGAAGAATTTGCAAAGGAGGTAGTTGAACGACAGTCTGCCTGGCGAAGAGTGGTCTGCCTTGCTATAAGCTCGGGTATCAGCACACCTGGTATGTCTTCAAGTCTTGCTTATTTCGACTCATACCGGAGGGAAAGGCTTCCCGCAAATTTGGTCCAAGCTCAAAGGGATTACTTTGGTGCTCATACTTATGAGAGGACTGATATGCCGGGGGCATTTCATACTGAGTGGTTCAAGATTGCCAAACAGTCGAAGATCTGAGTTTCTTCTGGTTACATTCTTGCCATTGACCTAATTGAATAAAGTTCATGTTGTCACTGAATCTGGGAAGAGAGATCCTGTGGTATCACATCTTGTCATCTGGTCTCTCAGGTGTTGAAATTTCCCTATGTTTGTTGTGGAGCCTATTTGTATTTCTAGTCCTTGGCAGCTTTTTTCTCGTGTTATGTTTTCCAAGTTGCTGAAAACTCTCATACAAGCAAAGAAAGTATTATCCCTTGTTTTGGATAAAGTTCTTTAATCTTTTTCTGTCCTTACTTTTGCTCTATCTTGACTTGCATTCTCATTTTTCTTAACCATTTAATGCATTTATCTTGTTCCTTCACTCTACATTGTTCGGGTGTGTTACACGATATTTTCTGATTCATTTGAAATATCTGTGCTATTTTACTTGAGGATCTTGATTAACCTCTGATTTTAAATCAGAACCACAGAAGATCTGGTCCAGTATATTTTTACAGCATTTTGTATATGGGTAATTGACCCTTTGATAAGTTGCTTTATATACGGGGATATCCATCTTTTGATCCTTTCCTTTTTGGGAAGTTACATTCAAGTTCCCATGTTGTCTTTAATTAGCTAATATTTGGAAATGTCAGAAGATTTTCATCACCGGATTTCACTTGGAACTAGGGACCTCGTAATTCAACTAATGATCAGTAGTAAATGGACACACTTGGTCCGGTGTTTTCCAGGAGTCTTCTTATATTGGTTGAAGACTTATATATCAGTGTTGGGATAAGTGTGAGATTTAGAGAACCTCCGGTTTATCTTTAAAAAACAAGTAGTTTAGTATTGGAATGTCAGAAGATTTTCATCACCGGTTTTCACTTGGAACTAGGGACCTCGTAATTCAACTAATGATCAGTAGTAAATGGACACACTTGGTCCGGTGTTTTCCAGGAGTCTTCTTATATTGGTTGAAGACTTGTATATCAGTGTTGGGATAAGTGTGAGATTTAGAGAACCTCTGGTTTATCTTTAAAAAACAAGTAGTTTAGTATTGGAATGAAATGGGCCCAAATAAAGCGAAATGATAGAGGATTCACATCCAACGCCAACTAATCTTTGATTAAGGCGTAGTTGATTGATCGATTGGTAGTAAGTGGACATTTACTGCAAGTATCATACATCCGATCTGGTTCTGCTTATATGGTGCCAATTTTTAAGCTCTGAATACTAATATTTCACATTTGCTGGATTCAAGAACCTTGCCTATATATTTATCAGATTACATAGACTGGGAAAAAAATTAATCAGTCCAATAGTTCATAGCATATATCTAATCATCCCTAAATAATTGGAGTATTGGACTTATCAATTTTAAACCTCTTTCCTTATCCCCCCAAAGAAAGAAAGAAAGAAAGAAAAACACCTCTTTCAACTTTTGTCTGTTCAGCCCAAGTTGGAGTCACTTGCCAAGGAGCAGATGCAGAAAATTCTGCCTTCAATTCTCATGAGCAAATTTCAGTAAGCAGCTGGCCTTACCGAGACTTATTGTCCATGCCTCTGCTCTGCATCTTTATCTATGTCCTTATCCAAGAGTATCCATGGAGCCTGTACATTTCTCCTTTTAATTTCCGTTGCCCTCTACACAGATCGCACTTTTAGAAAATCGTCTGTTTGTAAGTTTCTTATATCTAATTGGGTCAGTTTAAAATGGTTGTGCTTGAGTTAATTCGCTAACTGTTGTTATAGACAACTCGTGTTTACACCTTCAACTTGTTGCAACATGAGACGTGGCTTTTCTAAACATCATCTGAGGACCTCTTCTCGTAGATTGTGCATTTAGCCTGAACTCAAGATGTTTGCTAGCTTATGTGACAGATGTTTGAATTGTCAATTCTGCATATCTTCTCCACATGGTCGGTTGTTTACAACAAACGCAGTGTAATCCCACAAGTGGGGTCTGAGAAGGGTAGTGTATACGCAGACCTTACCCCCACCTTGAAGGTAGAGAGGTTGTTTCCGATAGACCCTCGGCTTACACATTGCAGAGGATCGTGCTTTAATTAAATACAGCACATGTTGTTTAAGTACTGCTGTAACTATGTTGAATAGCTTTTGGATTTGCAACATGATTTGTTCTGCAGTTCATGTGTAATTAGCAAGTCTGATCTCTGAAACCACCACCAAAAATAGCGGATAAAATTTGAGAGATCAGACTAATTAGGTCTTGAACTCATTCCTTCTCATTTACCTTATCCCTTCCCTTTCGTTTGATTCTTTTAGACATAACTTGCTTTTCTTACTACATTTATGTAGCAATTCTTCCTATAAGGTAAGTTCTCCTACCGATAGGTTGAAGCAGCTGGACAACCAACTTAAAGGGCAGCCTGGCACACAAGGCATCCCGCGTTCACGCAGGGTCCGAGGAAGGGCCATGTAGACAGCCTACCCTAATGCAAACATTAATGGCGGCTTTCGCGGCTCGAACTCGTGACCTATAGGTCACACGGTGACAATTTTACCGTTGCTCCAAGGTTCCCTTCCTGCACAACCAACTTAAAGTATCTGAAAACAAGAACTCATAAAAGAAAGACTCTTATTTAAAAAAAAAAAAATGAAAACATAAGAGCCTTCCACAATTTCCTGCTTCTTTTATTGGAATTCCAATAGCCATCATAGGCTGACTAGATTGAGGAAATTTATCGGTTGAGAAGAAAGATGCAAATATACCTCATCGGCGACACTCTTAAATCTTGACATTATAGGATATGTGATGCATTACATTTGTTGTTCATGAGCCAAGTAGGTTTGCTCAATCTTTTACATGATTTCTTCTTTCACCGTCGGAACTAAAATAAAAAAGTGAAATACTCCCTTCAAGATATCAACCCAAAATCTGATATCAGAAATGGACTAATGGCCGACGGTGAAGAATCAAATAAGAAGGATTTACAGTGATTGTGGTATCTCAGTTTAGCCCTTAATTTCCATGCTTTTCCCTTGTTGAACTGCAATAACCATAACTTTTGCCACTCTTTGCTTTATGACCTGGATCTTCTTTTGCTGCTTTTACATTCTTATCAGATATTTTCTTCTTCGCTTGTCTTTGTTGTTCCTTGCTTGTGAACTTCCTGTTGTCTTCTTCTGCATGCTTGAATTCATGTTTCCGATAACTTTGCTCTACGCTTGTGCTTACTCCTTGTTGACTTGGACCAGATGAAGCGTCAGAAGTCATGGAGTCGTCACTGCCACCACCTTCTTCAATATAATCAAGATTTTTGTATCCCTTCCTCGGAGTTCCTTCATCATCATCGTCGTCGTCATCTTCAACATGATTATAGTCACGATAAGGTGAACCGATATACATTGTCCAACCGGACTCATTACTGCTGCATTCTTCTGTTATACCTCCAAGTTGATAGTTTAGGATACTCCATTACTCTAACTGGAAAATGAAAGGCATTCAAAGAAAAAATAAAAATGACTAACCTTCTTTACTCATTCCTCAATGCATGTTTAGCTAGGTGCAGCACAATAGCAAGATAGACTGGGATTGTAGGATTCTCTTCGTTCTTTCACTTATTAATACTTATCTGTCACACCTGAAATACCATCCTCTTTACTCTCAGTGTCTACCTCATAAATAGAGAAGCAGCTTCTGAAATGGAAATACAAGGAGGGTGTCCCACTCCAGAAATAGGTAAGAATGTGTAACCCCAGTGTTCTTGATTAGATAGAAGAGGTCCTGTTACAGTACTCTTTGGTTATAAGAGCCTTTAAATTCTTTGTCTGTTTCATCCACAAAGATCAGCCTTTCATGTGAGATATATGAACTGAAGCCAACTGTGTTTTGGCGTCTTATATGAGGTTAAAAAATATTTTAAAAAAAGGACCGATGCACTAAGCTCCCGCTATGCGTGGGGTCCGAGGAAGGGCCGGACCACAAGTGTCTGTTGTACGCAGTCTTTCCCTGCATTTCTGCAAGAGGCTGTTTCCACGGTTCGAACCCGTGACCTCCTGGTCATATGATAGCAACTTTACCAGTTACGCCAAGGCTCCCCTCCGAGTTTAAAAAAATATAGTTTAATGTAAAATCCCAACTTCCCCCAATAAACAGTCAAGTTTTTTGCTACTTTTGTTTTGTCCTTTGTCTGCCCTTATCTTTCACCTCATAAAGCAGGCATTTGTCTTTTGTTTTCTTTGGGGGTAAAACTGAAACTCACAGTAAACTTCCTGAAAAACTTTTTGACTTTTGACAGTAGCTAATGAGTCAGCTATGTGATTATAGTTTGTTCAGTACCCCTTTGTGACTGGGGCCTTTGATGGGCAAAAAAGTTATTGGAGTAATCTGTTTTTTTACACTTTACTCATTTCATTTGTTCATCTCTTGCTACTATATCATGATTGGAAATTTGGGTTGTTTGTTGAATAAGTCTGACCTTCCAAGAAAAGGGAGAACTTTGCTCTGATTGTTTATTTCTTGTTAATTGTTATCCTCATGGTAGTATTCTAAAGAGTCTTCCCCACTTATTTTCTTGTTTTTGGCTTATTTTCTGTTGAGTTTAGACAGCAAAGGTCCCTTTGCATATTTTTTTCAGACTATATATA